AAACACCATTCCAAACGTAAGGCAGCTTTTCTCGTTTCTGCTTCTGACAATTTTCAAGCTTTACTTTCCCAAAAGTCACAAACATTTCTTAGACCTCATCACGCAAACACTCAGATTGGACGTTGAAAAAAGGGAAGTAAGAACATTATATTCCTTTGGGATCGAAACTTTTCATATTTCCGTTATTCTAAAAAAGCCGAAAAATATTTTAATAGAGTAAATTTAATAGAGTAAAAGCGAATATTTATGTAGGGTGGATGTGCTCACAGCTTTTGTTGCACAGCGTGTAGGTCCTTTGAACCTTCATTTTAGATCATTTTTAAATTCTTTTGAATATTTGTTGGCGATATTTTTAGTTTCGCGAATGAGAGAATATTTCCCACAGTAACCACAGATGAGCAGACGGACATACGGACAGACGAACAGACTGATATGCTTAGGTGCATTCCGAATTTGAAAGTGGCCAAGAATTTATATAATTTAGATGCTATTTGAAGCATGCTTCTGCACGTTGCAAAGGTAATGGAATCAAAATTAACTTTCGATACACTATAACGTTGAGTAGGCGTTATGAATTTTTGCTACTTTTATACGTTCAATTTTTTGTAGATTTATCTGTTGTAGTTTATAAGTAATGAGTAGCTAGAAACCAATTTTATATTCCTTTTTAACAAGCAAAGATATTCTCAGTGAGTGTGTAGGCGTGTCCTTCATTTATTTAATCAAAAAATTTTAGTACGTAATGTATATACCCAGCACCTTCTGATTTAATATATATATTCGAGCGTTATAAACGAAATTATATGAAATTCCGAATACCGTTATCCTTCAATGACGTAATACAATGAAAGTCTGAAGGTTATATCTTCGATTTTCTATAAATAAATCCTAATTTTTAATTTTTGTTTTTTTTTTTAAGAATTTATAGTAAATTGTCCTACCAAAGCCGCTGTGTCCAATTGTCCTTAACCAATGCAGAGCAAAAATAGAATAAAGTTTCAATAAAATTTCATTCCTATTGATTGCATTCTTTTATATGCTACTTAAACATACATAATATTACATAGGGATTTCATCTTCTCTGCTTTATATGTTGCAGCTATATTTACGAATGAAATTTACCTTTGTGTACCTTGTTGGGATACATGAAATTGTGGTTGGCCGCACAAAAACATAAAATACAGTAGAGAAATTAAAAATTTAATCAAGTCAATTTCAACTGAAGGTTAATGCAATAGACTTGTGTGTATGTTGAACTTGTTTCAACATGTAATGCAAACAGATGTAAGTAAGTATACGAACAAAAACGTTGCCACACGTACATACGGCTCGACATATATATATATATATATGCAGTTCTCTGAATTTGTGTGCTCTTTTGGTGTGTGTGTGTGTGTGCGTGTGCTTTTGTAAAATATATAACATACACTTATTACTCAATAACAATTTAGGTTAATTGAATATCATTTGCCACATACCCTCCTTTCCATTCCACCAATCATTTATTCATTTATGAAATGTATATAAATTTTAATAAATTTCCTAAAAGCCGCAAAGAGGAAGAAAATGAAAAATTCAAATGCTTGCTAAAAACAATCTTGCAAATCAAAGAATACTTATATATTTTATTAAAAAAAAAAAAAATAAAAAACAAATTTTATGATTTTATTAAAAAAAGAAAAGAAGAAGAAAGAAAAGCAATTTTATATGAAAAAACAGAAAATTTCTTTGGTTTCTTATCGACAATTCCCCAAAATAAATTAATATTGATCCTACGGGAGACAGACAATTAAAAATGGTTTGTCTCTTCTCTATGTTTTTTTATAAATTTTAAATTTTCTATAAATTATTTTAAACCGCTTCCATTTTTTTTTTTTTATTTTAAAATAAAATGTGACATGAAAGTTTTTAATTTATGCAAATCAGCGCGTTCTCGTTTCTTTATACTTCAATTATAAAGTTTCTGCTTAATATTGTACCCAAGTAAGTTATTAACAGCATTAAAAATGCTCTTTACGTTATTCTACCATATTCTCTCTCTTTCCCGCTCATTTTGTTTTACTTAATAACAGTAACACCACTAGTTGCAACTAGTTGCATAACATAACATTATAATGAAAATTTCTATGAAATAACATTTCGTCATAATGATGTCGAGAGTGAATGGAGAGAGAAAGAACTAGAGAGAGAGAGAGAGAGTGAGCAAATGTGAAAATAGAGAGTATATATGTAAGTTAACCAAAAAATAGTAAGAAAATTATATTCGGCGGCGATCGAATCTTTTATACCCGTCGTGTACCGTCATGACGTCAGCGATATTTAGTTTAGAATCAACGAAGATAGCTTGGCGTATTCTGCTCTCCAAATCCTTTTATTTGATAGCCTGCTATTCAGATAATACAGATAGTAAAACTTCGCGGGGCGAATGCATTGAATAATCTTCAACGTTCTGTCTTGTTTATATTATGTTATGAGTGAAGTAGAGTTTTTAATAAAGCCGACAGCAGTAATATGAGTAATACGCAGAAAATATCGAAACAAGCGAACACAAGCGTTTATAACTATGCGTAGAAGTCGCCGATTTTGCCTGTTTTTGCGTACGCGCGGCAGACTCAACCATCTACCGAATGCACGTGCAAATTTTCGCCATTTTCATCGCCAATGCCGATGTCGCCAGGAATGTGGACACGCTGGCAATAGGGGGAGAATAATTTGAGCTTTGTTTTCATTAATTGATATATTAAAGTGAAAGTTGAACGTCAAGTTGTAATCAGTTGGTTTTTTAATAAGAAATACTCTATGGAGATTGTATTGAAACCACAAAAAGTTGTAATCAGTGTTCTCAGTTTACGTTGTGCTGGGGGCGTGTCATTTGGTCGATTTATTTCATTTTCATTACCAATCTGCATGCAAGAATTTTCGATGTTTGTGCCGAATGTGAAGTCGAGAAGGATATTTTTGCGGCCAAGCGAATGTTTACCACTGATATTACGCGTATGGACAGATGGACATGATTAAATAGATTCATAATATGATGCTGATCAAGAATATATATAAACTGGGATCTTTGAAGTTTGCTTTTGGACGTTTTGACAAAAAAAGAATTTATTCCTCATCCTTCAATGTAAGTAAATAAATACAATTATCTATTTTGAACCTTCAAATACTCTATGGATTTTCTAATTCGCTACGCAAAGCGATATCAAAATATTCCGCTTACTTTTATTTGTTACGAATTCTCCGTTAAATTTATTTTACCTGAGAGCAGCTGTCAGGCTAATAGTAAATTTTTAAATAAATGTCAGCATTATATGCTTTTATATGAAAGAAGACTGATTGTATATTTATTATACGTACTGAGGAATCTTAACTTTTAGGAAGTAATAAACGAAGCATTAAAATGTAATGCAAATGGTTAGCAGGAAGCATAGAGTACTCTGTAAATATTACATGCACACATATACACATACAAAATAATAACTATGCTTTGTTACTATAAGAGACTAAGGGGCAAAGGGAGAGAGAGAGAGAGAGAGAGAGAGTAAATTCTTTAAAACAGTAAGAAAGGTAGAGTGAGAGATAGAGCAAAGAGAGAAACTTATGTTAACAACGATTTGAAATGTTATAACAGAAGAAGAGGGAAACATTTTATCTATATATATGTGTAAGTGTATGTTTAATGCATGTGTTTGACACGTCATTGTCGTCATTATTAATATACAGCAAACCAGAAAGATTTTACTCTCACAAAAGTCAAAGAAGGCCTTCGTAGGAGTATACAATGTGAAGTTAAGCAAATTTTTACTGTTAAGTTAACAACTTGTTATTAACAGCAAGTTGGCAGCTTTTCCGTTTGGTGCGTCGTGTTTGTCGTTTGTTATGTTTACGAGTTAAAGACAATAGGTTCGAGCGTTCGAGGTTCGAGGTTCGTGTTCGTTCCGGGCATGGATAAGCAAGCAATGTGCTGCAAAGTAAATTTCACTCTCAGAAAAGTCAAAAAAAAAGGCAAACTCAAATAAATGGAAAGCTATTTTAAAAAACAAACACATGTTATCAATGAGAATGAAAGGGATAAAAATGAATATAAAAAATAAATAATAAATAATAAAATAAATAAGTACGTAAGTAAGTTAAGCTTGTATTATCGTTCAACTTTTCATGCATTTACTTTGCGATATTTTGAATATTATGAAAAATATCTATCAGAACACTCCTCTCTCACTAAACCCACTAAAACTGTAAAATCATTTCAAATTCTCGATAAGTCTCTCTGACAATTCTCGAATTTCATAATGCTTTATAACCCTTTAAGGCTGAAATCTTAACCAACCTATATCTAGCTCCTTAGTTTTGAAAAAATGTAATTACTATACATACGCTCGCTAATAGTATGATATAGAAATGAAATGATTTATTATGGAAAAATGTTTCTGTTTATTTCTCTTTTTTTTTTTGTATATGTTTTTGCATTTTAATCATTTAATCGTTTTATAATAAAAATTAATTTATTTTTTAATTCAATATATTTGGATAATTTTCCGTTCTCTAAACTAGAGTAAGAGTACAGCCTTGCATGTAACTTCATCCAGGCGGATAGACGGATAGAGGGACAAGTTTTCCTAGTTAGTGCCGCAAACGTTTTGTTAAAATGAATATACCAAATTATCCTTACCCTCTTTATCTCTAGCTAATCGAGCTAACATGTTCGTGTTGCAGTTGTTGTTGCTACAGTCCTACACTCTTTCAGCTGTCTCAGTCCACACAATTCCTATACATGTGCCCATTTTTCACATTTTCATTCATTTTCATTTACAACGCGCATAATAATGTTCGTGTTTTCCGCGTTTTCATGCGCTTAACAACTTCATGCTCATTCACGTTTAGCGTAAAATAACTTCAAATATATTGATAAAAATTCGAAAATATATCTATGTAAAAAAAATCGAAAAAGAAAACTGTAATGAAAAAAAAAAATATATAACGAGAATTAAATAAATAAAAAAAAAAAAAAAAAAAAAAAAAAAAATAGTTGGAATCATTCGAAAGGTTTGGTTATAACTCGCGCAGTAACGGTTATTTAAATTGTAATTTCTGATAGCGTATGCATGCCTGTATGCATGTATGCTTGTTTGCATGTGTTTGCGTGTGTGCTTTCATTTCGCCATATAAATGAATGTAAGAAAAGAAAAAACTACGTATTGCAAAACGCGTAAAGCACAAACAAACAAGCAAAACGCAGAGAAACCAATATTGTTTTTTCATTAATTGAAAGGAAAGGAAATTAATTCGCGAAAAGTAATGACAGAAATCAAGGGGTGTAAAAAAAGAAAAAATAAAGAAAAACAAAAAGGGAATATTTGAACAGCAAAAAAAAAACAAAAAAAAAACAAATGAGAAACTGAATGCTTTTAAATACGCGCTCGTTTGTAATTTGTAAGCTTGCAAATAAGTTTAAAGCCATAACAAAAATATAATATATATATGAAATATTTAAATTTGTAAGCGTTTGTTCTTGTTCGTATTGTTGCTGTCAGTTGTTAAGTGTGCCAGAGGACTCGTTTTATAGCGTTGCTTGTAACAAGTAACACCTCAGGTACTACACACAAAGGAAAAGTAATGCCCGTACATTTAATGTAACACCCACCCACCAATACACACACACACACACACTTAGATTCATTTACATACACACTTTCCTATATATATATATATATATATGTGATGTATACTCGAGCGTATAAGTTTTATTACAATTTTCCCTTTTTTTTGTTTTTTTTGTTTTTTTTTATTGCTACTAGGATTCCTAATGTTAAGGCAAGAGAAAGAAAAAAATCAGTTGCGTAAAGTCAGGAATAAACACGAAACAGCCAAAGATTTATGGTTTTACTGGTGAAATAATTTTAAAAAAAAAAGAGAAAAAAAAAACAACTTTTATTAAATGTTTGTATTTGACTGTGGGCGGCGATGAGGTCTGCCGTGGTGACTTTATATATTGCCATCGAACATAAATTACCGGGTTTGCATACTCCAACGTCAGAAGATTGTTAGTTAAGCAGAAGAACATGAGCAAAGTCATGCCGCAACGAAACCACTTAATATGGCCATTGCTAACGTTCTTCTTGTTGTTGTTGTTGTTATTGTTGCCGTTGCTATTGTTGTTTTTGCTCTTTTAGTATCAAGCTGTGGTCGGACTATGTAAATGCAATAGTTTGTTTCCTTGTTTCTTTGTTTGTTTGTTTGCTTTTTTTTTTTTTTTTTGACTAAGAGTAGCTTTATAACTACACTGCACTACACTACTAATAGTAGAGTATATTAAAACTTAACAATGCCTGGCAGACCGGCAAGCTGACTGAGTAACCGTTTACAACAGCTAACCACTAGTGTTGAGAGCATGCTCTTCAATGGACTATTTTGCATTCATTTATTTTGTTTTGGCCTTTTCGGGTTTTGCTTGTTCATTTGCTTGTTGTGTGCATAAAAAAGGTTTGTTTGTTTGTTTTGTTTTGTTTTGTTTTGTTTACCTCTAAACTGCTGAATAATGTAAAGATTTTCTCCCAAAAAGCAAATACACTGCAGACGCACTTCCAAAATTATTGTTTGCCTCTCTATGGGTGTATTGTTGTTTACGAGCGAGTATCATCTCGCTTTTACATATAAAGGTTATCGTTCTTCCTGCTTTATGCTATTCATTGTTATTGTTGTTTATAAGTCATAGATTTTGAAATCATCTTCAGGCTTATTATGTACACATTCTCTGGCATAAATAAACATACAGATACATACACATATAAACGCACGCACGCATTCATTGTTTAATGTGAGTATGACTGTGCGCTTTCACTTTCATTTCACATATTTATCCATATATGTCTAAGCGTATATATGCTTGGCGCCCATATATACATATATATATATATATATATATATATATAGATATGTAAGCTTAGAGGCACTTGCTATAAAACTGGTTTAACATATATATGTACGAGTTTGTATACAGCGTTTTTTTTTGTTTTGTTTTGTTGTTTTTTCTTTTTGTGTTCACATTGACGCTTAAGCAACACTATTTACCATTTGTATTGCTTTCATCATCATCATCATCATCATCATCATCATCATCATAATTATCATCATTATCATCATCGTCATCATAGTCAACGTTAACATCATGGCCAGCTGCATTACCACCACTACCAGTAGAACAATTAAACCACTTCAACCATAAATAGCTTTGTATAGAATCAGCAGCGTGGCTTGTCGTAAGGGAGATTTTCATTTCGTTTAAATTACGTTAAAGCATTAATAATAGTTTAATAGCATTTTTAGGCCATAGTATGTGTGTGTGTGTGTGTGCATAGCCCAGATCAGTCAATGGGGTCGTGCAATTTCGATTTGCCATTAATACGTAATACGCTTTACTGTCTTTCTCTATTAGCAACAATTTTTATTCGCATATATTATGAGTAATTAATTGCTCAGTCAAAGTATCTATCTCATCGCATTACGAAAATGCATTAAAAACCAATTTAAAATTACCTTTTGAATTTAATACACTTTTTGCAAAAGAGTAAGTTAAAGTGTTAAACTATGATTGGAAAGAAAATCAATAAAAATCCAATAATCTCAATGGCAGCTGGTGTACATGTTCGCATCTTAGATAGAGGATAGAAAAAATTGAAATCTCAACTACTACTACTACTACTACTACTACTACTACTTCAACGATACGATTGACAGGAGGAAACGATGAAAACTAGAAAATGTCGGCACACACGTTATAAACGATGCTTACAGCTTACAGCTAAGGAATAACTAATGACCAAGATTTATCTCAGCATCTTGTTGACAATGAAAAGAATGCATCGAAAGCGATAAACACATAAATAAAGGTTTCGAACATTCAATGCTTTTTTAAACGAACTACTTTACGCATTAAATCATCCTTCATCGCTTTGACCATTAGCTCCTAAGTTAAATCTTTACTTACTCACTCACTCACTCACTCACTCACTCACTCACTCACTCGCATGCTTACTTACAAAAAGGAAAATTTTCCATTGCTTTTAATAGTTCCTTGTGGACACGTTTACGAGCATTGCATTGCGTGTTTCTTTATCTGCCTATATCGACTAAGTACTTTTCTCTATTTTTCGAATGCGATAGTTCTGCAAGCCTAAGCCTAAGAAGGACGGACATATTGACTTGGAATTTAACCTCATCTGAAATATGTAGACTATAATGTGTATTTCTAAATATTACAAACAAAATGACGAAATGAATATAACTTGATTTCCCATCGTTGTAACGATATAACTAACACACAACAAGATTGCAACGTTATGTTGCAACAAAATGCCAGTTGAAATCACTGTTCTGGCTGTTGTTGATAATTACCATAATAACAGCAAATAGGGCGCACGCTGCTCTCGTACAAATGACAGTAACTACTTGAATGCTTCTATAGTTCTTTTCATCCAACCTAACCTAACCTAAGATGTCCCGTAAACAAAACCGTAGATAAGAAAAAGTTTAACTACTTAAACGCTGCTCTCGAACGAAATCAGAATTGAGGCAACATAACGAAATATGTAATTTGCAGACTTGGTAATCGTGTCCCGGCATGAGAAACCACGGAGTGCAATAAAAGAGATCCGAAAATTTCTTTTCTTTATAGTCACACTGCCGTAGAGCAACATGAGCAGATTTTTTAGGACTTAAGAAGAATTGAAAGTCTCTATGGTGAAAGGAAACGATGATAATTCAGAATGTCTTGAAATTCCAAATACAAGAGTGCCCCGCAAGAATCGCTTAAGAACAAATTAAACTAAGGGTCTCAAGAGGATTTCCCGCACACAGAGTTGCTACGCGGAGACTTGCTGGGAACGGTCCTTCGAGAAGTTTCGTAGGCCACTATATATTGAAGCGATAGATAGGCATTATCATGATCACAGGAGAAGAAAGGTCCCACCAGGTACCCCACCAGTTACTGATGGACTTTTCTTATTTGTCGCAGGACGATTGTAAGATGCTGCTAATCTTCATAGATTTTTTGTACTGTTAGTAGCCCGAGCTAGACAATTACCATAAAAAATATCTACAGTCATAGTTATGGTTCCATTCCAACGTAGACGGCAAAAGTTTCCCGATAAAGTCATTCTTCATCAAAATATTTTAGCAAAGTATTTTGAAATTAGTTCAGCGTTCAAATCTTTGGCCAAAATCAATCACATCGTTTAACATAATTCTTGTTGTTGTATTTTGTAGATTACAACATCGACTCTTTTGATCTACAAAGCCGAGATGGTCCAAATTTGGTGCAATTAATTTTTGTTTGTCAAGCTACTTTTATAAGATATGATATGAGATTTTTTGTCTTATGAACTTTAGTTTTCGTTACATGACAGGAGGGTTCAAGAATTGCCCCAACCAAAAGTCCAAAGTTTCTATATTTATTTAAAATGCCGAATACTACTACCGAGAAATACTACTTAGCCGAGAAATTTTGAACATAGCAATAATTTTCCTTGTAATGATTTTTCAGAATGGAGTGTTGTGTGGCGAGTGTTCGAGAAAGCGCGTTCGTCCTTGCGTCAAAATACGTCACTGTACCAAATTTCATTAAAATATCTCAAGAATTGCGACTTGTAGCTTGAACGCACATTTACGTAGAAAGACATCAATCAGGTGGACGGAGATAGGCTTAGACATCAGATGGACAGATAGACTCAGATCAACTCAGATTATGATTCTATAACAATCGATATAATAAAAGGTGAGTTTGTTTTACTGTGTGCTACATTCGTCCGCATAAACTTAATATACCCTGTACCAGAAGTCGTGTAGGGTATAAATAGTGAGCGCGTTTTAAAGGAAACTGAATTGCATAACAGAATCCTTTTGCATTTTCAATTTCATCATATATACATACATATATATATGTATGTATATGTATATATCAATTGAATGACAAATATTGGCAAGTGACTGCTTTAAAGAAAAATCTTAAAAACATATTATGCCAATAATAAAAAAAAAAAATCTCAGAGAAACATCTGACAAATCTTGACAAATGAAAGCTCTGCACAAAATATATAATCATTCAAACAGGCAAACGCACACGCACACCCTTACACTCATACCAATCTAGCTGCAGATATATATATATATATATACATACATATATATGCGTATATATATATGTGCGCGCATAACTTATGCAATCGATTTGGGAGCTAGCCAGGCAATCACACAAACACAAATAAAAACAAAAAAAACAAAAAAAAGAAAAAAAGAAAGCAAATAAAAAAAAAAAAAAAAAGACAATAATAGCAACTCAGAAATCTACACTTAAATCCTGTGTAAACAAGTCCCTTACAATCATCTGACGTCAAGCTGTCAATTCAAGGCGAATCTTTACAATTTTGTTTTTGTTGGTATTTTCGTTTCATATCAAACGAAATATCATTAGTTGCACTATTTTTTCTTTTTTTTTTTTGTTTTATTTCTGTTTTTATTATAAAGGCCCCGCAAATATCATCCATACCATCCATTGTATACTGCATTGCCACAAATTTTCACTGCGACACTTGTTTT